TGCATTCATGGCCTCTGTTCTAAACTGGATGATAACAATAATTTTAAAAAACTCAAGCAAGGGCTGATGCTTTTTTAGTTCCCCAGCTTTTGCAACATCAGCAGCACCCAGTATCCAGATGTATCCACAACAAGCAAATGTCAGAGCAGTAGGGAAGTTCAAACTTATTTTTTCTCTCACCACACAGCTTCTTTTTCAGCTCGTCCCTCTCATCCTCCACCGCCGCTATTCTGTTCATGAGTCGACTGTTTCTGTCTCTAAGCTCGTCTCTTTCTCTGGTCAAAAAGTTGAATCGTTCTTGTAGTTTGTTGCACTGATTGGACTTGTGTTCAACACAATTTTTTTTCACTTCCTTTGTCTGGTTCTTGCCACTGAAGTGAGTTGTGTTGCAGTGTGGGTGGCTCGATTCTTCACTGGTATACACTGGCGGTAAAGACAGAGAAATTCCAAGTAAATTTTTTTTTTTGGCGTACATACTCAGTGACAAGAAACAATACTCACAAGTCAGGCGTAAAGAAAGATTGAGGACGGCTTGTACGATGCACAGCACAGCAAAACTGAGGACAATCGGCTGACAGAGTCTTTTGTCTGCGAAGCCAAGAGAACAACAGATAACCACAGCCGTAGCCCTTTGAGTCTGTAATGTGCTGTTTGGATTCAAATGTGTCAGAAAATTGTGAAAAGGGTCCGATATTGTTCACCAAATTACAAGATGACATATTCGAATAGCTCGTGTTACAGTTCACATCTCTAAAATGTTCAGTTTTCAGTCAGATGGCAAAGAAAAGCATCAACATTAGAGGGAGTTTAACCTGCAAATGTTTAGTTTAGAATTAAAATTGTCAATAAAATGACAGAAAATTGTGAAAGAAATTTCACACAGTGCAAAGTGGTGTAGTCAGATAGCTTGTTTTACAGTCCAAAGGCTCAACATAAGAGTCTTTAGGGAGTAGTTTAGTTAATTAGATATGACAGAGAAGAGCGTGAAATCGTTACATCTGAGGAACTTAAACCAGTAAATGTTTAGTCTCTGATTTAAATTAAAAGAAAGAAAATAGCAAAAAGGATCCAACATTGTTTATCAAATTACCAGATGATGCATTCAGATTGCTTATTTTGTAGTTCAAACGTGTGTATGATTGTTTTAAGGATAATTAAATGTTATTACATGTCAGGTTCTTACATTTATGGTTTCTATGAGTTATGATATCAGTTTGGACAGAAATGTGACATCTGCACCAAAGTTTGATGAAGAAGGAAACATGAACCAATAGTTTCACCACATCATCGTCATACACATTGACTTCTGCTGTTAAAGTTTTGGTTTTCAAAAATGACTAACTGAAGGATACAGTTGCCCTGCCGGCCATTATAACACTGAGAACCAGTAAACCATTATTGTTACCTGTTTGTGTTTTCTCTCCGCTGCACTTCTTCCTGCGTCTTGGTCGCTCATTGATATAGTCCCTCATCTCCGTTCCCTGCATGGTGCCGACTGCATTCAATCAAGTTCACAAGTCCAGTTTTGTCCAAACAGTGAACTGTTTGTTCCTTCACCTGGTGCGTGTGTGTGTCTTAATCCAGAATAAGGAACTACATACATTGCAGCAGTGGGAACGTGTGGTTAAAAGCAGAGGAAGAAGGAAAAGAAAAAACATGTTACTTACACATAAATGTGAATGACTGAAACAATAAGCCTTAAAATTTTTTTTTTTTTTAGAGCTGAATTACTATGTACACTGTCTTCTACCAGTTAAACTACAAAACACAAAATAATTTGCCCAAACTACCTTAAAGGCTGTGTTTATGCAGCCCTTTACAAATAATAATATGTATGTATATATCTACATTTGCACTGCTTATTATTATTATTATTATTATTATTACTACTACTATTATTATATACTTAATCCCTATCTTTTTATATATAAATATATATATATATATATATATATACATACATACATATATCTTTTCTATATTCCCCCCATTCAGAAGCCCATTTTTCATATTCTGTTTTGCACTACTCTCCTTGTTTGCACTATTTCTTATATATATATATATACATTTTTTATTTTTTTATTTTTTTCCTGTCTCATATATGTGTACCTCTGTTGAATGATGCTATCAACGATGTGAATTTCTCCACTGTGAGATATATAAAGGCATATCTTATCTTATCTTATATCTTATCTTATAAGAAATCTTTTTTTTTTAATACCATCTCCTACACCATTAAAAAAAAATAAATAAACAATTTAGGTTTTTAAATGCAATTGTTTGAACAATTAATATATAACAATTAAAGATAATATCTAGTATAATCATAGAAAATGTTTTATTAATTAACAAACTAAAAGGCCAAAACTGTGCATAATGTCCACAATGAAAACCTTTAGTTTCTACAAATAGTAACTAATCTTTTACAATGTTGTCACACAATTATATATTTTAAAATTGTTATGAATTTTTTCAGATTTTTTCCTCATAGTTCAGTGTGGTTTAGGGTGACTCATAACCTCTGACCGTCTCCTGTCTTTCCACAGAGCTGTTCTTACCGTGTTTGTTGTGGACATGTTGACTTCTGTGTTCATCTAAATGAAGGAAGGTCACAACCCTTTCATGGACATTGGTCAAGTCAGTGGCTACAAGCAGAAGCGCTGCAGCTGAACGTGCAGCTAACTGATGGTGAAAACAAAAATTGCGTTATGTGGTGTTGTGGCTGCACATGCATCACATGTTTGTAACGCACTTCGTAACAAACACTCACGTGCACTCTGGACAACCCAGTATATGCAAATATATATTTATATTTTCTAACTTAAAAAGCAGGAGCTGGATGCACAGATTCACAACCAAAAGTCTATCATCACACAAAATCAGAAGCATGAAGACATTTTTTTTTTTGAGACGCCTTGTCCTGGAGCAACAGCTTAAAGCTTCCCTCTCCTTTTTTTTCTTTGACTGCTTTAAACATTTGAGTTTTTGTTGACAGGGATATAAGGCTTTAGAGTATACAGTTATTCCCCAAAATTGATGTTATGCCACTTCTTTCCAGGTGAGGATGAGAACTTTTTAAAGCAGGCAGGTAACAATGAACTAACGCTGGGTGGGTGGCACGACACTACAGGAAGTGATGCTGCTCCAATAACACACAGATAGTGCAAATACCATGACTGTTTCTGTCACTGTCGCTGATTTGTCTGAATGAAGATAAGAGGAACATTAAAGTGACTAAATGGCAGGATGCTGTGATTTTAATGAAAGCTGTTACGTCTGAAAAGGGCTTCAGAGTTGAGAATGTTGCAATTGTCAATTCAAGTGATAACAGAAGTGGCAGAAATCAATCTGACGAACTGTTTAACATAATCTGAGACAAGCAAGTGTATTTTTAGACACTTTGTGGGGCTTACTATTGCATCACATACTTCTGCTTTATACCAGGACAGTGACAAGGCCTGAGCTGTGGCAGGGCTTAGCAACAGTGCAACAATGCAATGTTGGAAGTTTTTGATGTGTCAACCTGAGCTCGACCATTTTAGTTTCAGTGTCGTCACATGGCTGCATGACTAAAGAAACAGAACATTTATTCATGATGATTTTCAGCATAGATAATTTCACTGTATTCAACTTCCCGATATTCAACTTTTCCATTATGGAGGATATCATTTTAGGATTTTTTTTTTCCTAAAAGCCATCTGTGCTGTGTTTCCATTTAATGCTGTTTTAATTCTACTTTTGAAATTAAGCGGCTGTAGTTTAATTCTGTGATCTTATCTTTTATCTGCATTGCTTTAAATAAAACAGAGAAGTTCCCTTTTGCACTGTGGGAGAGAAAATGCTTCACTGAAATTCATTGTATTTATTTACAAAAAGAAGACTTGTGAGATATTAGAGAGCCAAGCAATAAGATTTTTAAGTTGTGAGTTAAATTGGCCATTTTGCCTGAGTTTGCTTATCATAACTCACAAAATGTATTCTAGTGAACAGCTGGTCTAAAACTGAATAATTTGCAAGTCATTGTGGCCGGTTAGGATGCAGAAAACAGTTTTTCTTAGTGAAACGGAGAGGAACAGTGACCTTTCAGCAACACTTGGCGCTGAAAGATACCAAAAAAGGGAAGATTAAACTGCTTCTGCAGCAAAGTCAGAAATATAAAAGAAGAAGCAGATTACGCATCAGTTTCATTCATAGGAGATACGTTGGTTAAAACATGGTGAGAGCTGCACACAGAGAGGCGTCTGAGATGATAACGGAAAATGTAAACCTGCCCGATGCTTCAACCAGGAGCAAAGACGGTGAAGCAGGTAAGACAGACATCCTCCAGCACATATTTATAATCATTTTTATCATTCTGCAATTGTGCGGCCCACTTTCGTGTTCTGTTCTTGCTTTCTTTTCTGTTTTTTGTTAATTATTATCGCGTTCACATGATTTGATTTATGTGGTTGTGAAATTCAAATGGAAAGTTGTCAGTATCAATACAATACTCCCAAAATGTCAACTGCTAGAGAAGATTATTATTCATTTATCTGCCATTTAAAGCAACTTCTGAAAAGTAGCTTTTTTGTTTTTATGTATTGTCATTCTAATTTGTATAATTTACTTCATTTATGTTTGTTTTTTGTACTTACTTATTAGAAATGCATTCCAATAATGTATCTGAAAAACTGTTTGTGATGACTCCGAATGCATTGTTTAGCTTTGTGAGTCAGGTTTTACTGAGCGAAGTTACCCAGAAAACTCTGTGAACCTTCTTCTTAGCTGAAGCCACTAAACCTTTATTCATGTGTGTGATTTTGGCATTCAGGGAGGAAAGTGTTCAGGCTGGTTGCTGTGAGCTTTGGGCTCCTGTGCATCCTGCAAGCTGTTCTCAACATTTCCCTGCGTGTTGCTTTCTGTGAGTTACTTCATACTGTGCCACTATTTAACAGCTTCCACAGGCCTCTTTGAAAGTTTAACTTTTTAAGACCAGAAAGTGTTCCTGAAAGTAAGAGCTTCAATGACGGAGCTCTAATTTTCTTTAGTCAGTGTTTAGTCACTTGATTAGGAAGTGATGCCTCAGTATAATTCAGGCTTGCTAATAGCTGTCATGTGTGATATCTGTTTATGACTTTTTAAAAGTTTATGGTTGACTGACAACCAGATAGAGACACAAGTTTGGTGAAGTTTAGAGTCACAAGTTGTCATGAAACAGTTAAAGACCTCTGAAAGACTGTGTCAGCTGAAGATGGGACTTTCCGCTTTTGTTCACACTTCAAATTTGTGTCCTTAAAATATAATGAAACCACAGTCATAATGTTCTGCCTGCAAACCTTCTTTTTTATCTCAGTGTACATCACAGTATAGAAGAGGATTTGTTTTCCAAATCTCCTCTTGTGTTGTTCAGCTGTACTTGGGCAAATGTCTCACAGTGTGTAAAAAATTAAAGAACCTCTCAGAGGAAAACTAAGTTTATTATTATTTACACCAGAAGACATGTCATTGGTGACATTAGCAGTGCGGTGGCTGAGCATTTCCACCTTGAAAAAGCAGACTTACAGGGTTTCATATGTAAATCAATCTAAGTAACCAGTCATCTAACCTTGCAGAGTTGGTCTTTCTGTATAGTTATCCTTCTTCAAAATCAGTTTCTTGATTTAAAAAGTGAATTATCCGAATATTACAAGTTGCTATGGGGTAATGCAGAGTAGCACCACAGTGGTTAAGCAGAGTCGTAGGTGAGCTGGTGTGCTCGGGCTGCAACAAGTGAAGAAAGATGAGTGAAAAGAGAGGAAGGACTTTATAGATCTGAACATTCTAGAGGGAGCTACGGTGTAGAGTCACATGGAAGCCATTTTCAGGCAGTACGGTATTATTTTAACGGAAAAAAATTTGAAATATGATACAAAGTGTGAGTTTTTAGAGGTAAATCAATGCCCGGACAGGGACTATAAGTCATGTTGACTCTCACAGAATGTTGCACAAGACTTTTCAAATAAGGGTTTCTGCTCTTTCAGACAGCAGGACATCAGATGTTAAGATTATCTGCAACAACGTGTCAGAGTCAGACGAGTTGCGAAAACTGGCTGGTAAGAATGAGGAAGAAACTCATCGTGCTGAAGTACAAATCACTGTTTCAGTATTACCAGTTGCTTTCTGGGAGACTCTATAGAGACTTCCTTAACTCATGGTAAAGACCCAAACACAACATCACTTTCACCACTTCTTAACATTTGCAGTTAAACACATGTAATTAAGCAGCAATATGCACATAAAACTTCATTAGGCCTGGGAGAAGTTGTCTTCAAATTAAAAGGATCCTGATGGAAGATGTAAATTTGTTGTTAATTTCAGAGACTTTAATGGTCTTTTTTTCCCTCCACAACAGAATATCATTTTCAACAAGGATGGATTTACATACACCCCAGTTTCTATTATATTTCTTCAACCAGGAAAAGCTGGCAGGACAGTCGAGAGGACTGTCTGCAACGAGGGGCAGACCTGGTGATTATCGACTCCAAAGAAGAACAGGTGTGTGTGTGTGTGTGTGTGTGTGTGTGTGTGTGTGTGTGTGTGTGTGTGTGTGATGTGTATTAATATAAAGATCAGTTTCATTTCTAACGATGGCTGATTTTCTCTGTAAGGACTTCACAAGGAAATTTCACAGGCTCACGTGGATTGGACTGACGGACCGAGTAGGGAGAAGAGAGTGGAAGTGGGTGGATGGGACTCCGCTGACCAAAAGGTTCGCACTTTATTCTATTATTTAACTCAAATCACTCCTGAAACTCAAGATTTTAACATTTATTACAGGTTTCAGTGCCAGATTAATCAATACATTAAACTTGTCCATAAGGTGGCTCAGTGGTTAGCATCGTTGCCTCGCAGCTAGAAGGTCGTCTTTCTGTGTGGAGTTTGCATGTTCTCCCCGTGCTGCGTGGGTTCTCTCCGGGTTCTCTGGCTTCCTCCCACACAGTCCAAAAACATGTTGAGGTTAATTGGTGATTCTAAATTGTCCGTAGGTGTGAATGTGAGTGTGCTTGGTTGTCTGTCTCTAAGTGTAGCCCTGTGATAGACTGGTGACCTGTCCAGGGTGTCTCCTGTCTTCGCCCTCAGTCAGCTGGGATAGACTCCAGCCCCCCACGACCCTAGTGAGGATTAAGCAGTGTATAGATAAAGGATGGATGGAAGTCGCCCACATTCTTGCTGTCGGTTAAATGCTTCTTGGGTTGTATTATTTGAGTTATTTCTTTTTTTTGTTTTCTGTTTCAGCTACTGGGGCCCCGGGGAGCCCAACAGTTACAGGGGCAAGAAAGAAGACTGTGTAGAAATAAAATTCCACGATAATGAAAACAGCTGGAATGACATACCATGTGAAGACCTGAACTTCTGGATCTGTGAAAAGAAATTGGATCTATAAGTCAAGACATATATATAATATTCTGTAAGGCTGAACTGCACTTCAAGTTCAGCATGAATTCACAAAATCACTATTCATGATCAGTATAATCTGGAAGGCTGCTTGACAATCGCATGGATCTGTAAATGTGAAGACGCTGGAATTTGGACTGTAATAAACTGCACAGTTATAAAATTGACAAACTCAACAAACTAATGTTGTGATGTGAAGCATTGCTGCTCCTAAAGTCAATTATGTAATCGCATTACGGTTACTACAGCGCCACCTTGATTCTGCTAGATATGCAACTGAGCCGTTACAGAAGATTTTGATGGCAAGATCATTTCTGTTGAAGTGTTCTTTGGAATCGTTTTCACCATCTGGGCTGTTGGCTTTGTAGAAATATTTTATTACAGTGAGTAAAAATGAAAGATCTTGTATCTGTCCTCCTTATTTGTTTGAGGATTTGTGCATTTGTGGTAATAAGTGGGCAAATGTAAAGTTTAATATTACATTTTCTCAGGCAATGTTGCAGAGTAACGCAAAAGCAACATAACGGGTAATAATACTTTCTATTGGGATCCTTCATGTTTTAATAAAAGCATTGAGCAATATGAAGTACATTACTGTTTTCTGAGCAGCAACCTGAAATTAATTTACCTGACATGACATTTTTGGAGATTTAAAACCCACTAACATGTTGCAGGAGTATGTAAGATAAGTATGTGCAAGAAAACCCTCAAAGATCTTGCAACTAAAGGAATTTTGCACCAAATTGACGTCACAAATTTCCATAAGCAGATGTTACAGACTTGTACATAGATGTTCAAAATGTATGTCACTTCCTGGTTGGAGACTGACTACAGATGGGGCTGAGGGCGGAGCATGGCTTTAGACCAGACCAAGAGCTCTGACATCACGGGGGGATTTGGTTTTCTTTGTATTAGTTTTAGTTGCTGCCTGTATAGTCTCCCCCCCATGCGTTACATTTGGTCTGATCAGCCAGTATATATTCTCAGTCTGGCAGGTCTGTTAGTTGAGTTAATGTCCTTATTTTTCAGTAGAGTTATAATTTGTTGACCTCTTTTAAAGGGCCCTACAACTCTGGTTTCAGTACTTTCAGTTGTTTTTTTGTAAAAGTTGTTTTTTTAATTGAAAATAAATCTGTCTTATGTGAAATTTAAACCTGTGTTTTTGTGTTTTGACTGCTTGGTCCACGACAGCATCCAAGACGTTGTTTCTGTTAGAGGGGCAATTCTAGCTTCCAATACCAAGCGTGTACTTACTTTTTCTCACAGGAATAGTACTTCTGTTGATATTTTTTTTAATAAATGGCAGAAAAAGTCAAATTTTCAATGCCTTGATGTGTTGTTTAAGTATATCACCTTTGTATTCAGCCACTGTTTGAAAGAAGAACAGGTGTGCCAGTTCAAATGTGGTTTAGAAGTCAGCAACTTATATGAGATGTGCACTGTAAGAGATTGTAAAGTAATTTGTTCAAATCAACTGGCCTTTTCTAGTTGACTTATTGCAAATATGAGTGTTGCTGATTTCTGTTTAATTGAACTTAAAAGATTAAATTATTTTGTATTTTCAGGCTACTTTAGAAACTGAAAACATGACGGCTTCCTCCCACACAGTCCAAAAACATGTTGAGGTTAATTGGTGATTCTAAATTGTCCGTAGGTGTGAATGTGAGTGTGCTTGGTTGTCTGTCTCTATGTGTAGCCCTGTGATAGACTGGTGACCTGGGATAGACTCCAGCCCCCCCGCGCCCCTAATGAGGATTAAGCGGTGTATAGATAATGGATGGATGGTTTCTATTCACAATAATCAAAACCGTTCTAACAATGAGAAAGTTTCATTCTGAATTCAGTCCCTACACCTGCAGACTTTCAATCTGTAACTCGGAGAAGCTTAACAGATTGTCTTTGCACTGACTTTGGTCAAAAATGGCTTCAGCATGGAAAAGTCATTCTGAGTGGCCGCTAAAGAGATTTGTCCTTTGTTTTCAGCCTCACCTTCAATTACAGAGAGCCAACTCACTGTTTTCTCATCTCTAATTTTGGTCATTTAACAATAACTGAACTCTAAATTGTAAACCGTCGTCCCTATTTCTCAGATCAAACGTTAAAAGTCGATGAATATCTAACTGCTTTCGAACGAAAGCAGACACCCATACAGCCATTACCCATGAGTTCCTCTTTTTTTTTTTTTTTTGCTCTTCCCCTTTTTATATTCCAGGTACCCTGCCTCTTTCTGAGAACAGACAGAACTATTAAATCAAGAATAAATTACTAACTTTGAAATTGTTGAGCGTTCGATGTATGATTGCTATAAGAAAATAATGTCGGACGAACTGCACACTGAGCCTGGCAGCATCAGGACGGTTCACTGTGATCAGGACGACAAGGAGAGCACAGTGGACATCTATGTGAGTGTAGAAAGCCTGAGAGTGTATGACAACCCCTGGATAGACGGCCGGCCAGCAAATACACCCGGACTTGCTCAGCACGCAGGTATGGACATAACAGGCATGAACAACAAATACAGAAGTAAGGATAGCTCAGAATCTGATTTTGTTTTCACATTTATTTCTGTTGAATTGGTGTAGTGGCCTCAGTATTGTAGCCTCTGAGCAAGTGCTTTAAATGTATTTGTATATTACAGTTTATGAATTCAGGTTACAGAAATTCAGCTGGTATTTCATGCATTCCATTTGATGTATTCTAAAAAAAAATAAAAAAAATCTTTGGTTTAGTGTCTTTGGGGAGTACAAACTCTGGAAGAAGGAGACACATTAGGGGTGATTCAGTGTTTCTGGGAGTGTTGAGCGTGCTTTTCCTGATTGGGATCATCTACCTCGTGTTCAAAAGTAAGTTTTTCTTTTTCAGCTTGTGATAAAAACAACACAAAGAGAACCTCGCATCATGTTGTTGACTTCAAGATGGTCGCATTATGAGAACACGTGAAAATACGTACCTTTTGTTTTGTTGCTCTTTTTGATAAAACAGTGAATAAATGCAAAACCAGCTGGGAAAGAGAGATAAACAAGCTGCAGGTTGATATCGGAGGTTTCAACAGAACAACCCTTCAGTTAACAGCCAATAACACTAAACTCAGCAAGGAAAGAGATTACTGGAAGAGGCTTTACGGTAAGTAGAAGATTACCACTTATAATTTATCACTTCTATCTCTTAATAAGGAATTTCTGATGACTGTATTTGAAAATGTATCAACCTTTGCTGTGTTTTTACAATCCCAGAAGATTCTTGGTGTTCTGAGTTTACATTATTTTGCAAAGAAAAACAGACAACAAAACTTTACGACCAACATGTTATTTCTTTTATCATTTCTGATCCTAAATGGTAGTTGTGATGTTAAAACAGAAAGTAGGAAGTAAGGTGAGGTGCAGCCATTGTTCCTCTGTGTGCCCTTTACAGGAGATCAGACTGTTGATGTGTAGTTCCACCTATGAAGCATAGATTTTTGTTTTTTTTCACCATTGACTGCACTTCTCTCTGTTTTTTCATAAAATGAAAAATGAGACGAGCAAAGCAAATAAGTTCCCTCTGAAAGGAACCTGAGCCACATACTAGAACAATGATAAATTAATTGACAGATTTACAAACAAAAAATGACAATTCAGGCACTGAATATGGGATGGAAAAGTAAAATGTCTTAATTTTGTATTTTGTATTGACTCACATGAGCCCTGAACGTGTACTTACGTGTTTTGCTTTTCAAGACTTTAGCAAATTAGTTAAAAACTCTAATATGAAAAGTGAGGCAAAGCAGCTGTAAAATACCGTTACACTTAATACATTAATTGAAAAAATTATATTTGTAGTTGGACTGATTCATATGTGTCTGCCTCTAAAACACAGACGCCCTTCACCAAAAAAACAGGCGAGAGTGAATGGATGGGACGCCGCTCACCACAGAACAGTACGTATTAGAATTATTAATCAAGGACAATTGGACGAATAATTTCTTTTTCTAGATTGTTTCATATTGTCAACACAAGTGTAAATGTAACTTTAAAATATATGTGTTTCTATTGTATATAAAGATAATTACTTTTTGTGCAATATTGTTGGGTTTTTAAGTCGTCAGAAGATCAAATAAGCATGTAAGGTTGTCATGTGTTACTGCAGGTTGTCCGTCATCTGCATGGTTTCCTGTACATTTGTTCCCTAAAGCTACAGTATGTGTCCCTATTGTAGTCATGCTGTTTTTGTGGACTAGTACAACAAAATTAGCATTTGCAAAATAAAACAGAAGAAGTAGTAATTCTTAGTCGATTAATTCATTTTAAAAAAACAATAGATTTAATTTATTAGGGATCACAAATATTAATATAATCACCCACATTGTTATTTTTAGAAAAGAGTGTATAAACATTTAGAAAAATATATTTAGGTTTTGTAGTTTTAATTGTCTGTTTTTTCTGTCTCTGCAGGTGCCAGCATGTCAACCAAACAAAGACTGCACAGTGAAAGAAAAGTTGCTAGATGAGGACACACAACCCTACAATACAGTCCTCATCATTTGTTGCATCAACACTGTTCTCTTCTTGCTAATAAAGGTTTACGTAGAATTGTTGTGCTGGAGAGTTGTTACTACCTGTTTAATGTTCTCTGTGTTTTACTGTAAAGCACATTACATTTGCCTGTGTGTAAAATGTGGTATAGCAGTAAAGTTGTCTTGATTAACTACCTGATCATCTCACTGCTTGGATAACAATAAAACACAATAAAACACCTCAAGATTTTGTTTATTTTTTGTTTTGTTTGCGATGGTACATACTTGTAGCAGTATATTTAGAGTAAATCGCGTTTCATGTTTTATCATGTTTGTCCTCTCAGTTGTCACAGAATTATCTTGATTTGTTATATTCAAAGCCATTCCTCACTGCAAAACAAGCAAACACTGAAATTAAAGCAAGAAGTGGTGGAAAGTCTGACAGAGACTGAGCGTATGTGGACATAAATAATCGCATAAGCTGTTAGTAAATGTTCAGAAAGTTGAAAACCATAAAGCAGGAGGAAGGTGCTTGTGTGAACTTTGGTCAGGACAACTTTGGCCTCACTGTGCAGCTCCTGATCATTAAGAGAGAATGAAGTCATTATGATACACTGTTGGGCCTATGGCACATGCTGAGCAGTGTAGGAAATTTTATTCAAGTTCCTCACCACAGTAAAAGAATTAAAAGAGGCTTTGGTGCTTTACACATGACTATCTAGCAAATTATCTTGGTTTAAGAATGAAGATTTTTAAAATGAAAGTAAGTCAGACCCATGGCCACTGAGCTATGGGCATTTAAATGTGCCATGTTGCTGTATGCTTTTCAGGAATTTATCTTAAGTTAGAAATGTCATCTTACTATATGAAGAATTTAGCAACCAAATACGGGAAATGGCAATGGAAATATTAGCGTAAATAAATGATCTGTTTTTTTCAGCGTCATTGACATCAGGTATCATCTGAGATTTGACAAAAGTAACAGAAACATATGTGTAGAAAATGCAAAACCCTTGTACAACACTAAAGGTGGACATAAAATAGTGCCACATATGAAGCCAGTGGAGTGCGCGCATTGATACAATGTTCGCCGCCTCGTCTGACCTCATTTCCGTCCCTCCAGACAGACTGTTGTCTGCCGGCATTTTCTTTTTATTTGCCCGGTGTCGATTTCAGCGCTTAGGTTAATCTACTGTTTTGTTGGCCGGCTGAAGCTATTTTCACTAAATCCCCTTTTCCACAACACTCTGCTACTATGCCTGGGTTTTCAGACAGAGACCGTGGCAGAGATAGAGGGTAAGTGGCGTGTCGGCTCCGGCTTTCTGAACGTTAGCCAGGAGGAGCAGAGCTTTAGCATCGGGCTGCTAGCTGCAGCGCTGTCACGGCTCCGTTACCAAAACAATAAGTCAGCCCACTTGTTTCGCAGTTTTACACGCCGCGTTGCTGTTAGGGCACATAAGTATTTTTAGTTGTGAAGATATTTTTTTTAAGCAAGTGAGCGGACCTGAATTGACGTGACTATAATGTTCGTTTCTCTGCTGACTGGAAGTAAAATGGCAGCTAACGGCGGCTCTGTGTCGGAGTCTGAGCGGTTTTTATGGCAGCCTGTTTGTTATCTCGATATGTGACGCAGTGCTGTTTCTACTTTCGGATTCATTTCC